GATGATAGTGTTTTCACAAGATTGGATTGGTAGAGGTCTTCACAAGTGACAAAAGGAATAGGATGCCAATGTCTTCTGGAATGACTAGGTCTGAAAAAACCAATCAGTATGACTGTAGGTGTCTTCAGGAGAAATGGGTGTTAATGCCTTCTGGGTCTCTGTAATGGCCTCTCAGAGTCTCTGTGAGGGGTCTCAGGGTCTCTGTGAGCATCAAGCTGCCCAAGTTTGTTACAGAACCCAGACAATTTGACCGAGACAGTTAACTTTAGCGTAATAGGAGAAATGGGTCCGTGCAAAATCTACTGCAGAATGCAGATAGTCTGAACTTCTGATGGACCCACAGAACCCAGACAGCCCAAACTTCCTAATGCTGGGGGAAAATCACAGCACATGTTCAAGGGGGAACATATGATAGATGGTTTGGGAAGTCTGCACCTTCCTYGTAYCTCAGCCAATGGGGAAAGGAAGGGGGCAACATGGGGCCATGAGTCAGGATAAAAGGAAGCTGTGTCCTCTAAAACAGAGAGAGAGAAACCCCACGTACAGCCCTYTGGACTCCCTGCCTTTCTTAGAATAGAATTGCAGGACTCCTCTGTCTCCTTTATGGACACTGGCATTTCACAGTGTGGCTTTTCTGCACAAAACCTAAAGAGAATAGGTTTAGGTTAGATAAAAGGAACAAATCCTTCTCTGTGACAGTGGTGAGACACTGGAATGGGCTGCCCAGGAAAGCTGCGGATGCCCCAACCCTCATGGTGTTCAAGACCAGGTTGGATGTGGCTTTGGGCAACTTGGTCTTGTGGAAGGTGTCCCTTCCACGAATTACCTATTAATTACAGTGACCTTCTCCTAAAATAAAAAAAAAAAAAAACCAACAAAAAAAAACATTCTTACATGCTATCAAAAAAGTAGCAAGAGAATCATTTAACGCTAACACAAGATACAGACAATGCCAAGAGACACAACTGTAAATCATAACATTGCAATACCAACCACATAACTACTGTCATCTCTTCACAGGTCAAGCAAGATGTGGTTGCTAATTTTAYTTCCTATTCACTTCACAATGTTGTCCAAAATAAATTAATCCTCTCCTAGAAACCTGACAGCAAATACCTGTCAACAATAAATGCCATGAGTCCTACAAACACATCAATGAGCTTTCCTGAGTATAATGACATTCATCCTTTCTTACTCTCTTTCAGAGTTGGGATGCTTTGAGTCCCCCAGGATGTTTCATAGTAGTTATACTACCATACCTTAAAGGAAAACAAACTGCACCCTGGTCAAAGATTCCCTTCGCACTTTTTGCCTTGACAWGGTGGAAGCCACTTGACATTTCTGGAACAAGGAACAGCCATCAAGTTATCAGCAAGACAACAGTGATTTAATTCATGTTGTGATTTCACCAATTCTGCCTTGTCAGTAACCTTTAATAATGAGCCCTAATAAGCCTAGGATGTTAATCTACTAGGAAGTACCTAGTTTTAACCAAATGATATTATTCACACTGCAAGATCACCTAGAATCATACCACAAAGTGGCTTACATAGTTACAACAAATAGAGTAATTTAAGAAGCAGCCCCTTGTTGAAAGAGGGTTGAAAAATTTGAAAAACAAACAAGCAGAATCCTCCAAGAAATAAAACAAAAGAAAACATCTACCAAAATTGTGAAATTCCACTTTTCATTTACCTGAAAGTGGGACAGCCCAGTGTGAAAAGGAGGATACTTTCTTCTAAGATGTTTCCAGGACATTTTGGAAAACTCCATAATCCCACTATCATTTATTCATATTATCAGTGAACATGTAAACACACTGGCCAAAGAAATAAAGGCTCTGATCAACAATTCAGCAGCATACAAATTGCAAGAATGCAAGACTTACTTTTACAACRTTTAGAAACCTTTTATTAGCTTTTTACCTTTCATCTGTCACCCTTCTAACGCACTACTCCCTGCAGCAATGCAGTTATTTCCTGTCAGTCAATCTAAAAGGCAAGTGACCTGAACAAACAACGTCCCAAACACCGACTGATAAGAAGCACCACTTCCAGCACACAGTCCAAACAGAACAGCACACTGGTAGGACAGACAGAAGACACACAGCTGGTGATATTGGAAAAAACATAGGAGAATGGATGGAGATAAGAAAATCCATCCTCTCTACACCAATACCTGTTTTTTTAAAAATAAGAGAAACAGATCTAGTCATTACTGATTGTAATGACCCGACTACCTTCTGTTTTATAAAAAAACATTGACCAATCCATTCCACAACCAAAAAAMCTCTAAAATGAAGGTAAATGAACAGAGTACAAGAAATATATTTAGTGAAAAAATGCWTCATGGCCGCTTCTAAATTTGAAATTGCTTTTGGGAATGACACCTCTGCTCCCAGTATCAATTAAGAATTCAATACTTCTAAATAAATATTCATTTGGCACCTACTTTTATTCAATTTTGAAATGGCTGTAATGCCAGTACCAGATACATCACTTTAAGCTGAACAGTTCTGCCCAGCACTGTAACTAAGGACAGGACAGATCATCTGGTTTTCAGAAAATCAACACACCGTAGATTGCAATATTCTTTGATGTTATCAAATAAGGCTATTCTGAAACCATATCATTTTTGTAAAACTGTTTCTGAAACACATCCCACTATCTGTTCATTATTATGAGCYTAATTAGAAAATTCTTAGTATTAGAAAATATTTTGTAAATATCACATTTGTTGGACACCAAGAAATACACTAATAATAGTTCAGAGAGTATCTGAATTCAAGTGCTTCAYACTTCAGAAAGCATTTTTAACAGGTAATTTTGAATTTTTTAGGTGAATGTGGAGCATTTTTATAGTTCAACCCCAGCTGGCAACTTAGTGCCATATAGSTGCTCACTCATTATGTCCCCAAGTGTGATGGGAAGAAAACCCRGAAAAAGAAATAGAAAAGCTCATGRGTTGAGGTAAAAACAGTTAAATAGTGGGGGGAAATAGAGTAAAATATTGTAATAAAAACTATAATTTTAATTACACCATCCCAACAACAACAAATCACTGAACCCCAAGAAAAACAAGTGATACGAAATCCAATTGCTCACCACCTGATGTCCTCTGACTGATGTTCCCAAGAAGTGGTTGGCCCCTTCCAGCCAAGCCCCCTTCTCCCACCCCCCATTTTTTGTACTGAACATGACATCCTATGGTGTGGAACATCTCTTTGGCCAGTTTGGATATGCTGTCCTGGCTTCCAGCTTCCCAGCTTCTTGTGCAGCTCCTCATTCACAGAGYATGAGACACTGGAAAGTCCTTGACTTAAGCTAAGCCCTGCTTAGCATCTACCAAACCATCAGTGTGTTATCAATGTTATTCTCATGCTGAATCCAAACCCCAGCACTGTACCAGCTGTTAAGAAGAAAATGAACTGTACCAAAATTGAAACCAGGAAAGCATATAAAAATGCTACCAAGCAACTACAGGGTCAGCTGAGCTGCTCTCTGMATGTGTTCCAATACAGTTACAGTTGGCTTTACTGGCCTCTCTGATTCTCTGAAGCATTACAAATGGGAAAGCTTGCACACTTCTCATATTTCTGAAGTGTGACCACTCATGTTCTCTTTGAAGTGGAATCAAGCATGCTTCCAAATGCCTCCTAAGCCACTTTCCAGTTCCAGCCTCAAGCAAGACCCAAAGCTCTATCACCCTTTCAACCTACCTACCTAGACTTCTGCAGAAAGAAAATCTAGGAGCAGAGATCAAAAAGAAACCAAGRTGTTACCTAAACAGAACACAAGTCAAGGTTATGTTGTGGCACACATTCAGGGACAGATTAGCTACTGCCAATGACTCCTCTGTGAGTAAAGAGTTACTGGGCAGCTAGCAGGAGGAATAAACAATCTGTATTGCTCTAAACCTGCACTTGCTAAAGAAATAATGTTACAAAATACAGCACCTCATGTACAAACTGCGTGTCATCCATACTGCCTTATGTAAATGATTTTATGAACACAATTCTACAGTTAAAGCAGTCAAGCTTTGCATCTGGCATCACTTAATGCCCCTGCCAATCCTGCTCAGGCTGAAGCTCAGGGACAGGATGGTCAGCAGGCAGATGGGCCTGTCCTGTTTCCAGTCCTCAGTCCAGCTCTGCTGTCTGGGCCTGTCTGACCAGGAGTCCCATCACAGACAGCAGGCTACTAYACAAAAATCACTGCAGGCACTCAGGTCACCAGTAACAGTGTAGGATTTTTAAAATAGTGTATTAAAGGACAGTGTACATCTGTCAGCTTTACACGATATTTCACAATAAACAAATATTTTAAGTGTAAGCTTTCAGAGTTGGAAAAACTCCCAGATAAAAAAAGGGATTCTGTTACCAACCAGAAAACTAAAATAGATAATTTCAGCAACCTAATGCCACATGTGATAAAAAAATAATGTACCAAGGAATCAAAACATATTCACATTCTTTAAAAAGTCATTATTTCCACATACCTGATTTAAAAAGTGGTGTGAGAATTACAAACCTTGCTGCTAAAGTGTTCTAAATAATTATGTTCAAAGCAGACTACTCCTTCATCTAGTACAAGTCAGCATCATGCTAGGAAAATGAACAACACATTGAAAACTGTGCACTCACATTCTAGTCAAACATACARAATGACCAGTTCATATCATCACTGACAGCCTGTTGTCACCAAAGACATTTGGTTTTGGCTCTTCTCAGAATATTTATGGCAGCCTTGAGAATGCAGGGAGTTCTTTAAAACAAATATTATATAATATTTGGATCAGTAACAAAAAAAAAATTAAGGCATTCTGAAAAAATGACAAAGCACAGGGGAAAAGAACTATTATGAAGCCAATAGTTTCAAAACCAAACACCCACTCATAACTGGCAATGTTTAGGTTACAGAGAACAAAAATGCCTGCCCAGAAATGACATGTGAGCTAACACTGAAATGTGAGTTACAGGAAGAAARGAGAAAAATGCTTACCTGTGAATAGAAAAAGAAGCAATAGATCTAATGAGGGATGCCACTGCTCCAACTTTAGCAGCTTCCACTGCTCCCCGTACCCTGTATTGCACYGTTTCACCATAACTGATGAAAGGTTCATTGTAGACAACAATCTTTCCCTTGGCCTCCTGAGCTCTTTTGTGCAGTTCATCAAATGAGGCCACCACTATGACCTCCGCTGTAATTCCTGAAAGAGAGTATTACAGAGATTTTAGCACTGTTTTCCTATAGCTCTCTTAGGACACTTCCAACAGATAGAAAAGCACGGGCTCTGCTGAACTCGGGAAATCAGCATTATTTTTTTTTTTTCTGGAAAAGGAAGACTATGTGAAATAGTCTTCCTTCTAGATCCCTAGCTTCACCAGGGATCAGTACTACATGGATGGAATAGCACCCTGATCAAGTGCACACACTTCTGTAAACCATGCTATCAGGGTGCTGTTAATACATAACTTGAAGGGCAAGGAGGATACATGGGGGGAATTTTGCTCTCTGCATGTGCTTTAATGTGTCACTGTAATAATTCACAATACAAAAAMACTTGCAAAAGCTGCCCATGGGATTAATTTTTAAAAAGAGATAATAATCTTTTCATGGAAATGTTTTGATATGTTGCTAAACAACTTAGCTTAACGTAAGACAGCTGGAAGCC